TGATTTTCGGAATGTACTACCACTCCCTCACAAATACTTTCATTCGCTTGAGAATGTGTGCGACAGTTGGATGATGACTTTTTAACCACAGAAGCCAAGTATCATATTTTGCGGTCGCTTGATACCCGAAGTGTCTATCACACGTAACAGCGAACGCATCTGTGTACTGCGGTCTATCCGTGACCTCGGAATCAAATATTCTTGTACCTACAACTTCTTTGAACGGATTGAGTACCAGATAGCAAGAGCGAGACATTCGTTGGTTAACATCTCTCACAACTTGCATACAATCACAGTAACAGTTGAACTACGTAAAATGCTTAATCGTCCCATTCTGCGGTATCACAGCATAATCTGAAGCAATATGAGAAAATCAGACAGAACGTCCATAGAATACCTTTAACGGTAGTTTACCAAACACGTTTTGTGAAAATATTATATCCTATACTCTCATTAGCGATGTCAGCATCTCCATCTCCATCCACTTTGGCTGCGAAGGCTGAAAGATGACGAGACTGCTGCACAATCTGATTCATGGCAAAATACCCATCGTAATCGATTCATCCTTAACACTGCGACACAGTTACTCGCGAGACATAGGTAACACATACCTTACTCTGATTATACCACGAGGCAAGTCAAATTTGCGGTCTAATTTGCGCCTCATCATATTTGCTTTACTTCGGAATCGGTTGCCATTCACCATCAGGTTGTGTGAGAAAGTGCAATCTTCGCAATTAGTTGGGAAGCTCCCTCTACCTGGACAGCATTATGTCGCTACTTTCGTGAGGAATGTCATTTGTACATCCATTCACGGAAAGCCCAGATAAGGTCTGTATGTTATAATATCACCAATTCACGCAATCTAATGAGTATTCTGTGTCTAACACATACTTAAACTGCAAATGTGCCTTCAAGCATGGCGTAAGACAAACAATTGGGGCGAATACCTTGCCAGAAATGCAGACAAACAAAAGAAGATAACATGGTATTGCTCTTGCAAGAGTATGACATCACCTGTGTGTGTCTGTTCTATGCGAAATATTGCCACCGATTTTCACATGCGGAGAAACGTGCCTCTTATTAACATTTATAGTATTGATTTCATTATTATTAGTAGTAGCAATATTATTATTAGTTCATGCGGTATATTTTTTCTACCAGCGGCAATACTAACGTAGAACTTAAATGTGCAACTAGTACTGTGCTCCTTTGATCGAACACAAATTTTGCTCTCGATACGTTACGGCTGATAGGAGATAGTTAGAAATTTTCGCAGTGACACCGGCTACCGGCCGGGTCAGAATACGAACCAATGGTAACTCTGTTTGACAAGAGATCTGTTAAAGTGGTGCTGACGTATAAAGTGCGAACACCCCATCCTTGGTTGATCAGTTACTGTCAGGATTATTTTTGGTGACCCTCTGGCACTGACTCTCTCATCACTGTCTGCCTTCCGTTAATAGCGATATGTCAACACTCGGGAATATACCTATCCCCATTAACGCATACATCTATCCCTGTGCATACATCCAGGGAGGGACTCCCAGGTTAATGTCCCATGACCAATGTGAGGTTCACTGATAGTGCGTGCATGTAACCTTTTCAGGGAGAGGGAATGGATGCCCGCGTGAACTTGAATTCACACAACGTCACTTTGATTTTTTAGCACGCTAAATTATTATCACTATGCGTAAAGTTTTAGGGCTAGGGTTCGCTCTATACACGTGCCACAATGCGTCTTACTGTCACGTGCTTTCGGGTTCTGTCCCGAATACATTATTGTACTCTATCGGCACCAAGGGGCTTGCCGACCGATGCAGATTTAATCGGATCACTGAACTTGGTAGTAAACTCGATCTAAATTATGTCAGTGGAATAGTCATCGGAAATAACCCAGATGGGATCACCCACATGTTCTGCAAGTACGCCGTATTGGGTGATTTTTCGAAAAAAGTATGTTCTTGTGTTTACTTCGTATAAGACACTAATGCTTAAATTATGGTTATGTGCTCACTCCTCCCCAGAGGGCTCTCAATTCTTGTTTTCTCAAGAAGGCTGCCCAGGGAGAATAGCGCTGAATGTCCGAAAAGAAAAGCAATAATTCAGGTTGGTTGAAATGCCTTCCAAATGTTCGGCCCAAAGCTCCAAACGTTTTGAAAGGCTGTGGATCGGCTGTCCACTGTCGTTGCGTATTGTCTCGCTAACATCAGGTCTCATATTTCCTAATTCCCGGATCAGACAGAAAATCTACAATGCTTACCAAAGGCAGATGCTGTTTCCATTTCCGATACAGGATGAGACCACCAGGCATCGCGATCTCTATTCAGGCTAAAAAGCAGTTTTGCACTTAGAATTTTGCGAGTTTCAATATTTTCGCTTCCAGCCGGAATAACTCGGCGAGCGTCCATAAATTCCAGACTTTGTAGAGCTTCAAAATCTTGGTTGGCAGTTTGAGTTGCCACTTGAAGACACTCCTGCTGATTGTGACGTTTGGCGAATACGACTCCAGTAAGCATTGACGGTGTTTAGTAAGCGCTTACTCAGCACGGATACCAAGGTAGTTTGATATGCATTCAGAACACTTGGCTTCACCAATTGGTTGATATTAATGCACTCAGACCGACGATGCGGACGACCGCCGAAACGTACAGAAGGTCGACACACACAGGAGCTTGATCCGAGTCCACGATGATGCTGCAAATCGAGCGACTGTTTTGGACACAGCCTGTCCAGCGGTAACTAATCTCGATATGACAGATTTATTTCCATGGCTGGGCCGAGGCGGATGGGCGCCAAGTCACTCTTTTGCGAGGGCTATGCCGAAAATTAGTGCTCGCAAAAAAGAGACGAGCACCTTCACACAGGTGTAGCAACCGCTAAACATTATCTTTACGGAAGCCTACACCATGTTGGCCGGCCAAATGAAACTCATCAGTGGACAATTTTCCGACTTGCGCGTTTAGTTCACTAGCAAGCGCCACCGTATCCGTGCTTCTTCTGTAACGAAGGAGATTTTTAAGTTGCTGATGGAACCCATGTTTCACCGAATCAGGGTTGCAGTTTGTGGGGGGCCTAAGCTGCAATGACACACAGGCACCGTTTGTCCCCGTGCTACTTCGAAGCCTGGAACGAGACAGCAGCGCACAACAGGCTGTTACCGAGATCCAGTCGATCAGTAAAGCTTCAGCCAGGGTACTCAAAACAATGCCAACGCCAGCTTGACTGGTACTTAAAGCTGCGTCATCACCAGCCAGGCGTAATGAAAATGTGCCGCCAGTGTTGCATGTGGGGGATCGCAGGGTAAGCACGGAGCTCGAATCTTGCAGCCGGGTTTCTGATAAACAGCACATATCGATCGATAGAGTCTCTAGTGTGAGGGTAAGTGCTGCCTGTTGGCCAATCTGCAGCAAAGTGCGCATGTTGAGGCTGTCGGTCTTAGGGAGGATCGAGGACTCCAAAGGGAATCGGAAGAACTGACGTCTGTTTGGTTGAACATGGACTTGTTGACTCGATTGCAGCGACGCCCTGTGACTGTGTGTGAGTTGAAACTAGAAGACCAGCGACTATGGAAGCAAGCTGGGGGAGGGCCAAGAAACGAGAGCTTGAAAACGGAAGCGGATAAAAGCGAAGTTGGAACAGGAAGCTAAGGATGAAAAGCGCAAGAAGTGCAATAAGAAGACGGGACGGCCTGAGCAGTAGCATCCAGACCCCTATCCACCCTGCTCGATGCAGCAGATAGGACGTCGTTGATTATCCTCTGTGACGGCCAGAGCATCAAGACATTGTTACTAGGAATGATCATGGTGTATTGCGTGGGCAGGATACTATCAGGCTGCTCAGGCCTAGAGGGGCGAACCATTAGGGTTCGCAACCAAAGTGGTTCAAAAATCTTACCGCAAAGCGGCGGCGTTTTGGCACTGGAATACAGGGAGCCCGTTTCATGGAATAAGTGGCCACTCTCACTCAAAAAGCCAACCTGGAGGGCCAGGAGACTGGGTTTGTCTGGCCTCTAACCATTGACCAATCTAGTATGAGTGGCTATGAAGGTGCCAAAAACACCATCCAGCATAGCTTAATGGATCATTGAGACACATAACCCATCGCACCATGTTAAGTTCCAATCTCATCGCGATGGCTAGTAATATTAAGAGTTATTGTAGTTATAACTGTTTATTTGTAATGGTAGTAGTGTTAGTTATATTACAAGCAATAGTAGTACTAACAGTAATGATAACACTAGTAGTAGTAATAGTGGTAGAAGTAATGGTGGTAGGGCCTTTAATAGTAGGCTTAATAGTGGCATTAACAATAATAATGAAATTAGTAGTCGTGGTAGTAATAGTAGCAGTAGTAATTGTAGTAGTGCTAGTACTAGTGGTAGTAATAGTAGTAGTAGTAGTAATAGTAATTGGGTGGGTGGCAGTAGTTGTAGTATTGTAGTGGTAGTAGTAGTAATATTGTATTGGTAGTAGTAGTAGTAGTAATATTAATAGTAGCATTGTGGTGCTAATAGTAGCAGTAATATTGTAGTAGGAATAGTAGTATTGTGGTGGTAGTAGTAGTAGTAGTACTATTGTAGTAATAGTAGTGGTAGTAGTAGTAATATTGAAGTAATAGTAGTAGTAGCAGTACTAGTGGTAATAATATTAGAAGAAGTGCTAGTAGTTGCTGTCGTAGGGTTGCGACGTGAATCCAGGACGTAGGGGCTGTAGTTGCTATCACTTGCCCTTAAACAACGGAGCTGGAAGCAAACGCTCTTCACAACGTTTATTGATTCACTGTGGGATCATTTTGTGTCATTTCTTATGTGAATTGATGGCTATGTGCTATCTAAGTCTAGACCCCGATTTTATTTTGCACCAAGCTTTTGCCCAGTCGGTCACTAAGACAATATTTTTTGTGGCCCCTAAATATAAGGCTATATGAAGCTTATAGCAGGTGCTGTAAAACGATTCTGATTCATCCAAGGCAAGTCATGTTCCATCTTAACACCGCACCTATTCAACATGCTGAAATGTGGCGCTAATACCGTCAGACTTACCTCCACCATTTTTATAACACAGATAAGGAAACCGCCAGACATTGGCCAGATCGACTGCAAACCCGATAACGGAGAGAAGAAAATCAGCTTTCTTATTCCATTGATCTCGCAGGCGACCTTCAATCACAGTGACCGAACCTTTGGGTGGCCTTTTGAGAACCGGTACCACCAAGTGCGAGCCGGACCCTCTAGCCTCTAAAGATGTGGAGTCGTTAAGATGCTCTGGTTTAGGGATCGCCTGATCCTTATCCGTGAGCGATAACAAAGATAGACGAACAGGGACGATAGTATTGCGCAGACAGTCCACGGTTGCCACCGAATCGCGCTGCATCTCTCGATCCAGGAGCGAAGCTTGCTACCAACCCAAATGTCACGTTAACCCGATCCAACTGCGAAAACCACTGTTTTGATCGTGGCTGGTCGTGGCTGTTTGACCGGGCAGCGCGAGTCCAACGGTTGCGGTCGATGACGAAACTGGTTGGTCCAGCCAGCATCCGCACATGTCGAATCGGATTTGAGCAGCGGTGTTGTGCAATACAGCACCGTCATTTCGCATTGACATTTGATTAAGAAAGAAAGCGAACTTGCGGATCAGATAGCGGTCTCCAGATAAACCGGATGTGACTTGTCTTATGTACCCAGTTGTAAATTGTTCGCATGTGTTCGGTTACTTGACGCAAATCTGGTATCTGCGGAAACAATGAAAGATAAAGGGATCCCGCTCTATGGAGTTGGACGAGAAAAAGTGGAAAACAAGATTTTGGGGTCGAAATTTTTATCAAGTTTACTTTGCCCATACGAGTTCTCCAAATGTTTAACCAAAGTTTAAGCTAACGGCTTTGACGAATTTCAGGGATGCGCTTACTAACATTTATTTGGGGTAAGTGACTCTATTGATGAAGATTCAAACCAGGACCATATGCTCTAAATGATGGTGACCAGGCTAAGCGGCTTGTTGCTGTATGGGTCACTTTTGTGTCAAGAACTACAGTCGTTGGGTGCAAGAAATAACATGGCATCACTGATAAATTACAGCGGAAAAACTTGATGCTAATTTATTTGTGAATCTATCAACATCATAAAAACGTTTGTTCTAACGTGAAGCGCAGTTTCTGCTTACAAATAAACTGGAAAATATTAGCCATACTGGCATCTGACAAGCATGTCAGCAACCACTGACATCAATGGTATTGAATTAAATATTTAGAGATGCACCACTTATGAATTGAATTTATCATGGATGCCTTTAAATGCTAATCCGGTTAAATTACTAAACTGATCCCCGAACATTTGTGGAAATTTCCTACATTTCACCAAGCGTGTATTTTGTGTAGCAGTTATTATGGATACAACATATGCATGTATGAATATAGTACAACCATGAAAAGATCAGTGGTATAGAATGTGGTCTTTCAATCTGGAGGTAAAATAGTCACGAAAGAACATTGACTTTAGGAACTAGGAAGATTTTGTGTTGGATTGCAGTCGGTTGCATTATCCCATAAAGAATGACATCGCCGTTACTTTCAAATGGACTGGTTGCGTGTTGGCTAAATGGCTGCGAGCAATGAAAGATAGGAAAGAGTCCATGAAACCTGAGTTTTCTCCAAGACATTGGGCTTGTTCTAAAAGGTTTCTCAACCAGACTAAATATGAGCAACGATGTGCATCTGCAGCGTTTCACAAACTCTTCTAGGCTCCAAGGATTTTGATGAAATTTTCATTTAGACGTCAGCGTTCTAGCAACTCACCAGGCTACTGGCTTCCTGCTGTTTTCATAAACCGGATCTACTTTCGGTAAATTAACTACTTGTTGACTCCATATGAATTGATAAGTATAATTTCTAATCATATTGGCTGAATCCCAGACCAAGTTAGGCTAGCCTTGTGCAAGAATTTCTTCCACCTAAAATACATGGTATTTTCTTGGGGTTTTGCATCAGCTGTTGTGAACACCATTGCGCTGACTTGGAGAAGATGGTGATGCGATCTACCTGAAATTTTCGAAGGCATTCGATTGGCTAAACTAGCGCATACTGCTTTCTAAGCTCCAGTTTTGCGGGGCCGGTGACTGTCTTTAAAGCCGGATTCTCAACTTTCTACTTTAATGGTAATTAGTGGTCAGAGTTCGGAGCGCTTTTTCGGACCCCATACAAGTTTAGTGTGGTGTGCCACAAGGCTCAGTCCTAGGTCCACGTTTGTTGTTGATGCTTAGTAATGACGTCACCCAGGAACTCACTTCAAACGACCTGCTGTTTTCCGATGATCACAAGATTTGGCGCGGGATTCATGTGAATGCTCACCAGCATCTGGTTCAGAGTGCCATACGCACGGTACATCGGTGGTCAACCCCAAAGTTACTGCAGTTCAACGTGGATACATGCAAGGTATTCTCATTACGATATCAGAGAAACTACGCATACCGGTTCGGAACGAATGTACTGCAAAAATGTGCTGTCGAACATGACTTGGGTGTGTTTGTTCTAGATAACTTAGGCTGCTCCAGGCAATTCAAAAAGGCCTCGAGGTTTGCAAACCAACACGTGGGGCTGTTGCGACGGGCCTACGGACAAATAGACATCACAAATTTTCGACAGATTCTTGGTGCATATGTTTACCCCCCTGTTGAATATGCACCTCAAGCCTGGCATTTATGGTTGAAACACGACCTCAATGAATTAGAGCAGCTGCAACGTCAGGCATCCAAATACCTCGTTGGAATGCGCAAGCATTCATAGGAGCAGAGGTTGCAACGATTGGGGGTATTCAACGGAGGATGTTGCAGATTACTAGACGATATGATAGTGGATCACTTGGTTCTGCACGAACCATATCATGTGTGCCGCTCTTCACTACGACTCATTAACAATACAAAAATCAGAGGTCACTCACTGAAATTCGCAGAACCGTATAACTGTCTGGAGTGCTTCAGGAATTTCCTTTCCATCCGTGTATGTCACCCGTGGAATGCCCTCCCTGAATCGGTGGTCTCTGCACCGACAGTAACAGTATTTAGAAGACGTTTAGATGACGCACTAGTCCACTTACACTTTTTTACTTAACATTATCCCTGTCACTTTCCGGTCGGTATTCGTAATATATTGGAAATTGTTCCATGTGCACTGATTTCCGCTAAATTATTGTCTCCGGCGGTCACCTAACTTCGCGTTTGTGAGAACTTCCAGAAATGACAAATGAGCGATATTTATCTTGCCTCCGGTGAATCAGCTGATTTCTAAATGGGCTTGGACTAACCCATGGACCTTCTCCGGCATTAAAATTAGAGCAGCTGATGTCCAGCAGTTTGATGACGTAATGTCTTCGCAGAAAACAATCCAGCATCGTTAACCGTGGCCACAGCTATACATATTTTCATAGATTGTCAACTAAATCGCCATATAAACACTAATCACTCGTTTTTCTTAGTATGTACTGGTCTGTTTCATATTGTCTATCTGATGCGGCGAAAGAATGCATGGCCTGGCCTGAAATCTATGACAGAATTTTGAGTACGGCTTCCTAGCTAAATGATATAGTTCATAAAGTGAAGATCCATTAAAGCGTGAAATCGACTCTACGCAGTCGGAAATAGATCTAGCAGTAAGGGCATATTGGCTTAGTCGAGTTTTGACCTCTGACCCACGGGACAGGTCACAGCCTGCATGTATGACGTAAGTGCAGATAAATGTAGGCATACTTGACCTCACTTGAATGACCTGTGTATCATATCTGTCCTTCTGTTTATCTATACCCGTGCTGTTTCCCACTCTTATCAACGTACTCCATGACTGGTCCCTTCCTTAAACTTCTGAGGTAGATAGCGGGGCCATGATGGCTTACAAAGCGATCAATAAGTTGTTTAACGCAACGAGTAACGATTTACACAGCGATTAGAAGTTCGCGGTTGGATTTTGGCGTTATTGCCGTATGTTCAGACTGTGTAAAGAAGCCACAATCAAGATCAGGGTTCCGGCTGAAGTAAACCTAATTCACCATGATCATTGAAACCGCGTTTCGAATTCGACATGGATAAAGAAAATATTCCAAATTTCCCATATAATAAAAGCCTATACACAACCGATAAGTATTCTAAGCCTTCCAAAATCATGAATTTAATTTGGTTCCAAGCGTATTCCGATAATGTCTTCTAAAGTCTTCTCATTATGAACCGCTTTCTATGATGCCAGCAACACCTTGACTACTAATAATGAATTCTTATGTTTTAACTTCCTTTGAAGTTATATGGATTACAGACACAGGTGCACATCATACTGTATACATATTTACAGGTCTGTCAGGTAGCAAGTTGCGTCTTTTATGAGACGCTTATCGCGGAAGTGACTGAGCTCCTTACGACTCAACTCAGTGAAAAAACCGCAAACATCCAGATGTGCACTACTTGCTTAGCTATTTTGAACTGCGTCAATGACACGTATTTCTTTGATCGAAATAAGATATGTTAGAGGGATTTGTTAGCAAAGGTATATACCGACAGGGAAACGTTCACACAGCTGACAGATCTAGTGTGCGATCTGTTCTATCTCATGTCTGTCGCCATCCTGCAGAGCAATGGCCTCCTAGGTTAAAGACGACGAGTAAACCATAAGTACATGAAAAGTTTAGTTGGCAACTTGTTGACTGGTTTTGGCTTATGATATTAGTGATAAAACATATAGTTTTTATGATCCGAGAAACTGTAGCCGCGCAGATCAATTTGTACAAAAGTGACTTGCTCTTGTAATGGCTATAAACATATGTGCAATATTGAGGCACGAGACTCATATAAGAACGATTTAATAGCTGGGTGGGGCGAAAGCCAAGGTTTGGAAACTTGAGGGCTTAGAGCTGTTTGGGCCCGCTTGGAATAGTTCATGGAGTGATTTTTCTATGTGAACATAGTCAGTCTAATTTTTAGCTCAAGGTAAGTTGCTAGTTTATTGCTAAATATTGCCACATTATCTGAGTGTGATAAGCAGTTCATCGCACAGATAGACATGCGATATAGAAGCTAATGTTGGTAGCTCAGGTTGTTCAGTTGGTGGTCTTAGTGTTCGCTGAGCTCAGCAGTTTGACTGCAAACGTTTCGTCACCACGAGCTGATATCGTCAGTGCAACTTTACTTAGCAGAGCAGCGCATACGAAGCGTAAGTGAGTGTGAGTGATCGATCTTCTAGCCGCTAGTCAGAGTTTGGATTATTCAACGAGCACATAACCATCGAAATCAATCTCTGATTCTCGCCTCGTCGTGTAGGCGCGCGTGTCTCTTCGGTTGTCGTCATTTGATGCTATTGTCTGGCGTTCTGTTCCGTTAGATTTAATCTACTAATTCGGTGGTCTTTCATCCGTAGTGATGTATATATTGCACCTATTTCAACGCGTCGGTTCATTGAATTGTCTGGAGAACACCATGCTTCCGAGAACTCTCTAGCTTGCCTCGAATTTCCATGGGCTAGGATCTTAACGTTTTCTAGGTCGAAATGGTGGCTTTCTTGGTCTTCATGGATGGAAACCAGTGAATGCGATTCGTATCTCCGTATGGCCATTATGTGTTCGTTGATCGGTGTTGAAATTTTCCTTCCAGTTTGCTCTATCTAGTGTTTGACACACTCCCTGCAGTTAATTTTATGGATGACATCATTTTCACTTCCTTGTTGTACTTTATCCTTCGGCCTTGAAAGCAATCTACGCA